ACATTCCAGATCCTGATCCAGAGCTCAGGGAGCATTTGGACGGCGCTCTCAGGGACAGGGGGGGATTGTTGGGATGTCCTGGGCAGGGCCAGGAGTTGGACTGGATGAGCCTTTGGGGTCTCTCCCAGCTCAGGATATTCTGTGATTTAACGGAAAATTCAGCAGCTTGGCACAAGTTTTTCCAAAGAGCTGCTTGTTCCTGGAACTCAAAGGTCTTGGAGGTCAAGTGACCTTTAGTCCCTGGGCTGTACCTGAGCTGCCATCTTGTGCCTTCAGGGCTTTGTTTCGCTTCCTAAATTCTTGCTCCAAAGAATCACCTGAAAAATCAGGAATAATGTGAATTAAAACCACTCCAAACCCTCAGAAGGAATCAGGTTTTACCTTCCCTTTGAAGAAAGTGCTGACACAGGAATGTGACCCTTTGGTGTCTCCATGTGCTGGCAGAATGGAAGTGGGGTTTCATGGAATTTTGAGGTCAAAACATGAGGAAAAAGGCATTAAATTGTCCTGCAGGCCCCCTCAAATCGAGCTTAGTGAGGAAAAGAGAACTGACTTTGTGAATAATCAGATAATTCTGGCAGCAGTCACCAAGTGCTCAGAAACCTGGGGGTTGGTTGTATCCCAGCCTCCTTAGTTTGGAATCTGCAAAGGTCCAGAGCTCAGGAGCTTGGGGACACTCAGCCTTTGATGGTTTTTAACATGAAAAGAAATGTGGATTTTGCTTCCCTGCTTTGGTGACCATTTCTGTTCCTTTTTATGTTTCAAATGAGTTCCAAACCCAGCACTAGTTAAATCATGGGCTGAGGGAAGTGGTCTGTCATGAAATGATTAAAAAATACAATGTACAGGGGCCATCAGAGGTTTGTTATTATATTATCACTTATTAGTATTAAATTATTATCACTTTATTATTAAAAGAAAAAACCAAACCAGAATCAGGAGGGAAGGAAGTTTTCCTTGCTGCAAACCTTTCCTTCCTCACTGACCTGAATCCAAGTGGGCTTCTCCTGTGGCTCCTTTCCCACTGGAATCAGAATTCCTTCCTTTAGCCTGTCAGTGGGATGCACAGGTATTTGTGTGTTGTGGAGTGAAACGATTATTGATAATTATCATTGATAGTGGTTGTGATCAGTGTGGGACTCCCTGTTGTTCTGTGGGGTCAGCAGGGTGCACAGAGCTCCTGCTGCACTTCCCACCAGGATCCTGAGTTCAGCCAGTGAAGGGCTGTTGGGAATAAACTGCCCTTTGGAATTCAGAACCTCTTCTTCCCAGTTTCTGGAGTCTGTTCAGGCTCTTTTCCCTCGGTAGGAGCTGAGGGCTTGGATTTTTCCCTGGGAACAGGATACTTTGCTTGTGTTCTCTCCTTCCCCAGCCCCTGGCCCAGGGCATTGTCCAGGTGTGTTGGGAAGCCGTGTGACATTCCAGTGACATTCCAGTGACCTCAGCAGGACTTGCTCTGTGTCCTTTGTGAACTGAACACACAGGGGTGCTGCTGGAACAGGGGCTGATTTCCCAAATTCTGGCACTGCCAAGGAGCTGCAAACCCGGGATCGGGGCTGGGCTGTCCCGGGCTGGGTTTGTGTCTGGGTGTCCTTCTCTTATGAGACATTCCTGGAAAAGAGAGGAGGAGGGAATGGGAGTCAGGAAGAGGCTCTGGAGGGCTCTGGGTGCTGTGTCAGAGGGACTGGTTGTTGTGCCCCAGCCAGAGCTCTGCTCCTCCATCCCATGTGGATCCTGTGCAGATCCAGAGGGTTTCCTGGGGATGGGCAAGGACCAGGCAATTCCTGCCACAATCTGCAGCAGCTCCTCCTTGTTATCCTTGTCCCACCCACAGGGGTGTGTTGGGAATCCCTGGAGAACAGACTCTGCAACAGGAACACTTGTGGGTTTGTTACCTACGAATGGGAACCAGGGACCTGAGAGTCCTGGGAAAGCAGGGACCTGTGAACCTTGGGAAAGCAGGGATCTGTGAGCCTTGGGAAAGCAGGGATCTGTGAGTTTTGGGAAAACAGGGACATGTGACTTCTGGGAAAGCAGAGACTTGTGGGTCCTGGGAAACCAGAAATCCATCAATCCTGGGAAACCAGGGATCTGTGAGTGTTGGGAAACCAGGGATCCATCAATCCTGGGAAACCAGAGACCTGTGAGCGTTGGGAAACCAGGGATCCATCAATCCTGGGAAACCAGGGATCTGTGAGTCTTGGACAAGCAGTACACTGTGAGTCTCCAGAAATCAGGGCTCTGTCGATGCCAGGACACCAAGGAGCTGTGGTTGTTGGGAAAGGAGGGATCCATCAGTCCTGGGCGAGTGTTTGGAAGGCAGGGGCCGGTGCTCCTCAGAACTCAGGGCTCCGTGACCCTGGGAGAGCAGGGCCCTGCCGGCGCCGTGGCCAGCCCTGGGCCAGCCCTGGGCCGTGTTCCCGTGCAGGCCCAGCCCGAGGCAGCCCCGCCCGGCCGTGCCCTGGCCGTGCCCGCAGCGCCATCCCCACAGCGCCATCCCCACAGCGCCATCCCCGCGTCCCGCCCGCGCTGCGCTGGAGCCGCTCCGTGCCGGGGTAACTGCGTCCGAGGCAGCAAGTCTCCGTGGGATGGAAATGCTTGACTTGCTTCCTGGGGCCAGCGGGGGGGCACGAGAGATGAGGGTTCACAGAATACCCTGTGAACTTTCACCCCTCTGTATGGAAACTTGTTTCAGGGTCAAATCCTTGTAGCCGCCTCCTTGCCACGGTCAGTGCCAGCCCTACTATTCCCAACACTGGTGCCAGCGAGGCCTAGGTACGTAACTTTTAAGGAGTTTTTACAGTTCTTTACATCAAAGCGGATGTTTAAACTTTCTGTTAAGCTTTCACCATTTAACAACCTGTATTAAATGCTCATTTGAAAGAATGGGACAGCTGCCCTGCTGCTAAACTGGGGGGCCCAGCGCCTTTTTCCGTTAAAAACCCCGAGGGAAAAGCGGAAGCTCTTTGTTCCATGTGGACTTTCAGGGGAGAACTCGAATGTGCAATTGCCGTGTTACGAGTACAATTCGGAGAGGGTTTTTTTTTTTAGATTTAAATACACCTAAAGAGCCCTGAATGTCCTGCCTGAATGTGCTTGTGTTCTGTGGGTGAGGAGGAGCTCCTGGCACGGCCGTGCCGGGCACACGGAACACTTCCCGAGCCCAGGAGAACTCTGGGATCAAAGAGAGTGTTTAGAACAGGCTGGGTGTCGCTTGGTCAAACACATCTGTCTGGAACAGGTCACTGCCACCTTGGGATCACCTCAGAGTTTCCTTAAGTTGTTCCTTTTTGCCAAACATTGATTTGTGTCTCGTGTGTCCGCGTGAATTCCGGGTTCCACACACTGGTTTGGGCTGAAAACCCACAAAGCTCAGGTGGATTTTTTTTTTTAAATTCAGTCCGTGAAAGGTTGTTAGAAACATTTTTTGGAAGCTCCCACTTGCTATTTCAAATCCCAGTGCTAACTTTAGGCCTTGTTTTACTTCTCTTTTTCTGGATAGGATCAGTTCTTAAGAGCAGCCCCTGTCACTGGAGGAATGGGAGCTCAGCTGATGAGGAAAATGGGCTGGAGAGAAGGAGAAGGGCTTGGGAAGAACAAGGAAGGCAGCGTGGAGCCCATCATGGTGGACTTCAAGACAGACCGCAAAGGTGAGTCCTGCCCTCGGGGTGTCCCGGGCTCCCCGAGCTGCCGGGGCTGGGGATGGGCAGGATCTGCTGATGGAGCAAGGCTGGCCTGGCTGCCTGCCCTGCAAGAGGGGACACGTTCTGGGATTCTGCTCCTGTTCTGTCTTAGGCTTTGTCCTTGTGCCTGTGAGCTCTGCCAGGTGTCCTTTGCCTTCCCTGCCCTTCCCCTGCCCTGGTACAAAGTGCTTCCCAGTGATTCTTTGTTAGGGATGTGCTCCAGGGGGATGCACAGAGGAGGCACAGGCAGGGAACTGGCTGTGGAAGAGCTGTGGTGGCTGGTCTGGAGACAGTGCTGGAGCAGGAGCAGGGCAGGATGGCAGGGGTGCAGTTGAACCTGGGCTGGGCTGGGGTGAGACCCCCCAGCCTGTCACCCTCAGTCAGGGCTTGGGGCTTCCACAGGGATTTGGTTCCTGGTCTGTCCTTCGTGTCCCTGCTGTTCCGTCTCTGCTCTGATCTGCTGGAGGCTCCCCTGCTCAGCTCAGGGCTGGTTCCAGAGGCAGCTTTAGCCATCTCTCCTCTGTCTGTGTAAACCACCTCTGTGTCCATGGTTTCCTGTCCATGGCCACAGGTGGAAAACCCACTGGATCCAGCAGAACCATCCAGCTGATTCCAGGCCGTGGAGCTGCTCCTTCAGCCAGGCCAGGGTGCTTTGGAGGTGGAGGACAGTTTTCCACCTGAAACACCCATCCAAGTTCTGACCATTTTAAACCCAGGATGCCAAATTGCAGCAGTCAGGATTTCTGCTGGAATTGTTCTGTTCTTCACAAACCTTTAATATATGAAATAGGTCACAACTGATATCAAAGCACAGAAATACTCAGAATTATTCCAAGGCCAGGTTGGACGGGGCTTGGAGCAACCTGGGCTGGTGGAAGGTGTCCCTGCCCATGGCAGGGGGTGGCACTGGGTGGGCTTTGAGGTCCCTCCCACCCAAACCATTCTGGGGGGCTGGGGTTTCAGGGCTTGTTTTTGCTTTGGTCACTGCTCAGAACTGAAAGAAAGAACTTGGAAGAAAACAAAGCAGGTTGGACTCAGTGATCTTGGAGGTCTTTACCAACCTCAGTGATTTTGGGATTCTGTGAATGACCAAACTCTTCCCATGTTTTTCTTCTGTACAATCTTTCTGTGCCAAGGAATTAAAACCAAAAGGTGGCTCGTGACAGTGATGGCCAAGGATTCCTCTTCCTGGCCTGTGACAGTCATGTGAAAAGAGGGATAACCTTAGTGCCAGCTGGGCTTTGCTTTGGATTTCCTGCCTTTGGAGTGTTTGTGATCATATGGGCAACCTTATCTGGTCATTCCCACAAAATTCTGCCTGGATGCAGAATCCTCTCTCCTTTTGAGTCACCAGCTCTGGGACACAGGGAGGTGAGGCAGCAGCTTTCCTGCACTGTGGGGAGGCAGCAGGATAGGGATTATCCATTTAGGACAAGCAGTTCTTCAGACATTACTGTTCTTGAATGATTAAATGACTGAAAAGTCCTTTTTCTAAAATTTCTGTGCAGAGTTTTAAAGAAAAGTCAGGAATTTTTGAAAGCAGATCTGTCTGTTAATAAATAACCCAGCCAAGTTTGTTTTGTAAGGATTTTTAACACATTTTTGAACTTATTCCTCAAATAAAATACAATTCCTAGTCCCAGGAATGTGCCAGGGAGTGACTCAGGAGGCAGCAGCTTCTTGGAAGTTCCTTGTTGAGGTCCCAGAGACAAGATGTGGAGCTGAGTGTCAGTGCCTTGGAGTGACAGGAGAGTTTGAACGTGGGGAGAGTTCTCTGGCTGGTTGGGATGCAAAATTCTGTAAGGGGGAAACCCCCAACCTTTCCTTCAGGGATTGTTGTCTCCCATGGGTTCGTGCCCCTTGGAAAGTCCCTGCTCAGGAGCTGCAGGAATGTTGGGATGAGTGTCTGGTAAGGAGGGAAGGACTGTCTTGTAAAGCAAAGCAAACCCAGATGCCACCCAAAACCAAAGGTGAAGGAGCAGGAAGACACTGGAAGCACTTGCAGTATCTCCCTGTCCTCAGTCCCCAAACAACAGGAACACTGGAGGTAAGAAGCAAAGGAATGTGGAGGGGATGAAGTCTGAGAATGGCAAAATCCATGGGGAGAAACTTGGGTTTCTCTCACAGCCAATCACTGGCATTTCAGGCATTTTTGGCAATTCCTCATTTTATTTCTTACTCTTGGAAGATTTTCCAAAGAAAAATGTGGAGCTTTGGTGTTTCCCAGGGGCTCCATGAGAACCTGGGCTCCCTGCACCCACCTGGGGCTGTTCCTGCTCCTCTGCCCCCCTATTTCCTTATCTCCCAGTGGGGTGGAGGTGACAGTCCCCGGGCTGTGACCCTGCACACAGAGGGAATTGGAACACTGGGAAATACAGGGAGCACGTGTGTGATCCCACTCCACGGGGTCATTCCTGGCATGAGGGGACACACGGGGACATTTCCCAGTCTGTGGGAATCCTTCCTGTGCTCCGTGTGTTGGAGGCAGACTGAGGGACTCCTGGGCTGCACAAAACACAGTTCTTCACTTCCTCTCTTGTTTCTCCAGAGGGGTCGTGGAAAACCGGGTTTCCCTGGAAAACCAGGGGGTTTCTGGCCTGTGCAAGGCTGCTCAGAGTTTTTTGTTCAGGGTCTTCCTGGAGCCTTTGGGAAAAACAGAGGGAAAAGTGCTGGATGAAAGGGAGGCTTGAGGCTCGTGTGGAGTCTCCAGGTGTTCCCACTGATCCTGTTGTTGCTTTGCTGCTGAGAACACAGGGATCAGGTGGGAATCAGGGATGTGAACTGCACTGTGTTGTTTCCAGGGCTGGTTGCTGTGGGAGAGAAGGCCCAGAAGAGGTCCGGCCATTACGTGGTGATGAAGGATCTTTCAGGTGAGATTTGTTCCCCCAAACCCTGTGGCTGCCAAGGGCTGCTCTGGTACTGAAGCCTGGGCTGTGTGTGTGGCCAGGGAAGCACCCGGTGTCTGCGCTGATGGAGATCTGCAACAAGAGGAGGTGGACACCCCCCGAGTTCGTGTTGGTGGACGACAGTGGGCCTGATCACCGCAAGCATTTCATCTTCAAGGTGGGTCTGAGCTGCCTCAGCTGCTGCTGAGTCGCTGTCCCAGGGCAGGGAATTCCTGTTTCTGTTTCATGGAACCATCTCAGCCACCTCAGGGGTGACCAAGGATGGTGAGTTGATCCCAGGGCTGGAGTCCCTCTGCTCTGGAGCCAGGCTGGGAGAGCTGGGGGGGTTCCCCTGGAGAAGAGAAGGCTCCAGGGAGAGCTGAGAACTTGCAGGGCCTAAAGAGGCTCCAGGAGAGCTGGAGAGGGACTGGGGACAAGGGATGGAGGGACAGGACACAGGGAATGGCTTCCCACTGCCAGAGGGCAGGGATAGATGGGATTCTGGGAAGGAATTCCTCCCTGTGAGGGTGGGCAGGGACTGAGATAGAATTCCCAGAGAAGCTGTGGCTGCCCCTGGATCCCTGGAAGTGTCCAAGCCAGGGCTTGGAGCAACCTGGGCTGGTGGAAGGTGGCAGTGGATGGGCTTTGAGGTCCCTCCCACCCCAGCCCAGGCTGTGATTCCAGGCAGGGGCTGTGCTGCCAGCCCTGGATTGCTGTGCCCTGGGTGAGGGGTTCCCTTGGAGCCCTGGCAGCTTTTCCAAGGCCTCCTTCCGCTGTCCCCAGGTGAGAGTCAACGGCAACGAGTACCGGCCCACCTTTGCCAGCCTTAACAAGAAGCACGCGAAGGCCACGGCGGCCACGGCGGCGCTGCAGGCGATGGGGCTCGTACCAAAGGAGAGCATGGTCAACACCACCATGTTCAGGAGTGCCTCCCACCGCTGAGCCGGGCGGGCCGGCCGCGCCTCCTGCGCCGCACAACTCTCGGTGTTCGCCCCTCGGGTTGTAAATACGTCGGCAGTTCCCACCTTGTAAAAACTGTACAGACGCCCACAGGTTTTTTTTTCTTTTGTACCATCCAAATGTATTTAAATCATACTTAGTTTTTGGTATGTTTATATTGTTTACATTAGTGATGTAATTATTTCTTAAACGACTAAATCGGAGGACAGGCTCTGGAGGCATCGGTAACCAAACCCACGGCTAAAGCTCCTGCAGTTCCTCTCCCTGTGGAGCGCTGACGCTGGGAGGTCCCTGGAGAGCACAGGATTGTACCCCCGGCCCTGCCCCGGGGGGCCCCAGTGGCCACCTGCGCTCCGGGACAGCCGGACGAGGCGACGAGAGGCTTCCAGAGGGACACGGAGGTGGCTCCCGCCTGTCCCCGGGACAGAGGGGCTGTTCCCAACCAGTGAACTCACTGCCCGATGCCGACTGTACGGATTTGTGGTTCATGTGAATTTTGAACTTTACCGGATCTACAACTGGACTGGGGGGAGGGGGTAGGATGACGCTTCAATTGTTGTACCCGACTTGGTCAATAAAGCAGCACAAGTTCATAATCTGCACCCCTGGTCAGCAGACAGTAATTCCAGTGGATGCCAAGCCAGGAACCGGGAATTTAAATATGCCAAAATGCCTTCTGGAAGAACCACACGCAGTATAGAAGTGGCTTTGGAAGGATTCTCAACAGCCATGGGGTGGGAGGAGCAGGTCTGGTTATTTTTGTTGCTTTGGTCTCTTACAAAATAACTCTTTGGGTTTAACATTTCCATAAGGATCCTGTGCCCCCAGGGAGAGCCTTGGGCAGTTGGGCAGGAGAGGACCTAGAAAGCTTTTCCTCCTCGTTACTTTATCTGTTATTTAAGAAGTATCAGTCCTTTGCCTGCGTGCCCCTGGAACTGGACAGGGCACTGCACCCTTCCTGCCAGCTCTCAGCTGGTGCCAGGATTTCTGGACTGGGACAGTTCAGGTGCTCATTCCAGAGAAGTTTTTTTTGAGCTGTTGTATCTGAGCTGGGTCTGGGGCAGGAACTTCCCGTGAGGAATTCCTGGTGCCTGTCACAGAACAAGGTCTGTCCTTGCCCTGAGGGGACAGGGGTTGGTGTCTCGTGTGCAGCAGAGAAATGGGGTTGGTTTGCAGACAAAAGAGCCCCTCCGAGTCTGTCCAAGCGCTCTGGAAATGCTTCAGTTGATCTTCATTTTCATGGACGTTGTTGTCTTGAATTAAACTTTTTTCCCTTTGGCTTCTCGCCTTCGGTCTCTCCCTGAGTGTTTGGAGCTTCTCCAGGCTGTGGCTGAACTGCTGGGAAGGTGTGTGAGATCCAGAGGGAGCCTGGGAATGCTGGGTGGGGGGTCTGTCTCAGCCCTTGGGTGCAGGATCCATCCCGGGGTGGGAGCAGCTCCTGCCCAGACCTGGGGCTCTGACAGAGCTGAGGCCTTGGAGCTGCTGAGGGTCCTGTTCCTGTGGCAGCTCCGGCTTCCCACTGGGATATGATCCAGTCTGGGAATGTACAGTCTCCTGTACTTGTTCTGCTCCTTCTTTGGTGTCCCTGCTCCCCGTGTTAAGGTAAAGACCTGAGTTCTTTCCCAGCAGCAGAGAAATCCAATCAAAGGGGTGAAAATAGTGATGGAATAGTCATGGAATCATGGAATATCCTGAGCTGGAAGGATCATCCAGTCCAAGCCCTGGCCCTGCTCAGGACACCCCACCAATGGGTTGTCCAATGTTCATTAATTGCTGGATTTGTTATGGAAAAGTGTAGAAAATAATGAAATGGGGACTGTGCTGCCCTGTTCTCCTCCAGGAAGAGAGACTGTATTTAATGCTCCAAGAGCCTCTGTGTGTCCTGAGGGAGGGCCTGGATCTGGGCTGGAGTCAGTGAACCCCAAGGATGACAGGTCACAGCAGTCCCTGTAAAGCCACAGTGTAACTATCCCTGGGTATTCCTGGGGCAGGACAGCTCCTGTGCTGGGGATGAACAGGCAGAAGAAGCTTTTCCTGCCTCAGGTGTAGTGGCTGCTCTTGGAAAAGCCCTCCCAGCCCATGGATCCCCCTGTGCCCCATCCCCACCTTGTCCCCCAGCCCAGAGCACTGAGTGCCACGGCCAGGCCTTCCTGGGACACCTCCAGGGCTGGGCACTCCAAACCTCCCTGGGCAGCCCCTGCCAAGGCCTCACCACCCTTTCCAGCAGGAAATTCCTCCTGAGCAGGTGCTGCAGCCATTTAATTCCTCCCCCTTGTTGTGATCCAGGTGTAGTTCGTACAAAGGACTCCCTTTAACCCTGGACAGGGGGTGGGACTGGGAGTTCTCCTGAGCAGCTCTGGGGAATATCCACCTTTTAGCTGGACCCAGCTGCAGGTCCCTGACCCCCGTCCATCTCTGTGGAGCTCCTGACTAGGTGCTGGGAGCAGCCTGGGAATGAGTTTTGCCAAGAATTCCAACCCATCCACCCAGAAGGTCTGGGATGGAAGGCACTGTAAGCCTCATCTTGTTCCAAGCCCCTGCCATGGGGGGTTCCAATTCCAAACTGGTTACGAGTTCCTGCCTGGAGCAGGAATTCCATGCTCAGACCAGACTGTGCCTGTGCTGGGGGAGCACAGACCTGCCTGCAAACCACACCCATAAATGGAAGGCACTGTAAGCCTCATCTTGTTCCAAGCTCCTGCCATGGGGGGTTCCAGTTCCAAACTGGTTACGACTTCCTGCCTGGAGCAGGAATTCCATGCTCAGACCAGACTGTGCCTGTGCTGGGGGAGCACAGACCTGCCTGCAAACCACACCCATAAAAAGAAGAGTTTTATTTAAAAAAGACTTTCTAAAATACAAAAGGAGAAGCCCAAAGCCTCTCTCTCTGTTAAAAGTCCTTGGAAGTGTTTCTGTGCCATGGGTGGTGTCTGGGATGTCCCTCCCGACCTGCCCAGGTGCTGCCACACCCCCTGAGCACAGCACACCTGGAACATCCTGCTCCAGGCACTGGCACCAGCATTCCTAGGCCTTCCAGGTGTAGGCATAGTCCTTCATCTCCAGGAAGCGGATGGCAGACTTGCCCAGGGTTGGACACTGCCTCAGCTCATCCAGAGCCTTGGGATGCAGTCCACACGCAGGGAGATCCTGCTGGGATCCCACAGCCTCCTGTGGGAACGCACAACAAGGAGTCACACATGGGACAGGTGTTTCTGTACCTCCAAACATGCCCTTGGACACCCCTGGGGAGCTCCTGCTCTTCCCATTATCCCATTTCTGAGGGAATGACAAGCCACAGGGGCTGCCAGTGGTGAGCACAGGGGGAGGTTTGTGTCCCAGGTTTGCCCCCCAGCCCTGTTCCCAGGGAAGGTGTTGGTGTCCCGTTTGCTCTCCAGCCCCGTTCTCAGGGAAGGTGTTGGTGTCCCGTTTGCTCTCCAGCCCCGTTCCCAGGGAAGGTGTTGGTGTCCCGTTTGCTCTCCAGCCCTGTTCCCAGGGAAGGTGTTGGTGTCCCCAGTTTGCTGTTCAGCCCCATTCCCAGGGAAGGTGTTGGTGTCCCGGTTTGCCCCCCATCCCCATTCCCAGGGAAGGTGTTGGTGTCCCCGTTTGCCCCCCAGCCCCGTTCCAGGCAGGGCTGTGCTCACCTGGGGCTGGGGGCAGCAGTTGAAGGCGGCGCTGGGCTGGTGTGTGCTGAGCAGGGCACGGAAGGCCCCGCGCTGGGCCGGGCCCAGCAGCCGGGTGAGCGCCCGCAGGGCGTGGGGCAGGACAGGCCCCAGCACCTCCAGGCTGAACACGTCCTCTGAGCCCCCTGGCACACGGGCACGGGCACTGCGGGCCTGGGGGCACAGCA